GAGTATTTCAGCCATGGAGGCAGGAGAAGCCAAACGGGCACAGCGTGGGGAAAAAAGGTGAGTTAAAAAAAAAAACCTTACTCGTGCAATTGGAGGGGGCAGGTACCTAAACAGACACTCTTACTTTCTGATACACACTCTCTCTCTCTGATTTTTTATTTTTTTTTCTATTTAAATCCACCCAGCCTCCCTACCTCTATGAGAGCTGAGTGGATCTTTCCCTGGGGTCCAGAGGGTCTGCTCTCTCTTCCTGCGTGCGAAGGAGCAGTAATATACCTGCAGTTCCTCGCTGCTCCCTCGCGCTCTCTGTAGTGATTCCGGGGCCGGAGTGACGTCATATTCCAGCTCCCAGGATAAACCGTGTCGGGAGGGAGCTGCTGGCATTTTACTGCTCCCTCGTGCGGTGGCTCCCATACCCCCACGGGTTGCCGTCTTAAAATGCTGACCTCCCAAGCTCCAGGGCAAAATGTTTTGTCATGGCGACCTGCGCCTGAGATTTGTTGAGCCCTGGTATAAAGTATATATATATTTTTTTGTTATATTAGATGCTGTTTGTTTATGCACTGTTACCAATTGGCACAATATGGTGAACGTTATTAATTTTTTTACATGTTCACTTTTGTGGAAGACTGTGTATTAGAGATACGTATCACTTTTTAAGCGAACCTCTATTGCTTTTAGTTACACCTATTCATAATGAAGAAAGATCCTTCCTACAAACATGTCTGATATCCTGCCAGGAATGGCTGTAGAAGGGTAGAATATGGGGGTTTTGTGAAGATGACATTTGAGTTTGTAAATTTAAACCTCAACTAAACAGTAATGCAATGTGTTGCTCTCCATGTGCTGTGCAACTTTGTGCTTTTTCGTTTAATTGTATACATGGTGCCAACAAAATTCCACAAAGCTGGATACATTGAACAAAAATTAGGACAAAAACTTGATTGCTCATACAGAAATAAACTAGCACACTAGAGTTTTTATACCTTGCATTCTAAAAGTTCTGCAGCAATATCTCTTCATTCAGCGTGCACCATTTTCTTTTTTTGAAAAAAAGGAGAAAATGAACTGGAAGACCACCAGAATAAGATATACAGATGGAAGACCTGTTCATTCTTAAATCTATACCTCTCAAAAGTAAATGTACTATATACAAAGGGTTCTCTTTTGCTCTTTTTGTTTACATTTCTTTCTAACATGCATTAATGAACATAAATATCTTATTTTCATACTAATAACAATGTTTTGTTTGCCAATACAGTTGATACTTTTATTTTGGCATGTGTATTTATGCTCATTATTTCTCTTTAAAATGTAACCATATTTTTTGACTGTGATCGCTCTGCCTGATCATAACATGAACGGAGCTTTAGCACGCCCCTTGAACCTCCCAATTAAAAACGGGAGACCAATACGTGATGCACATTCAAGGGGCGTCCCTAAGTTTACAGGCTTGCGGCAGGCACTTACCACGCTTCCCACGTGGCCTGGAGCCTGACCACGCCTCCCCTCTTTACTCCCGGGTCCCCCATTGGATAATGGGACATACTGGGAGGAACAAACGTGACGAACCAGATATGGGCGACGCCTGGGATGGCGATTGGCAGCCCAGACCTGAGGGGCGGGACCTACTTACCCTTTTTAACACGGACATCCATGCAGACATTTTTCAGCTCTTGACAAAGGCGGTTATATACGCCGAAACGCGCGTCGAGCAAATTAGAAATGCCGATGCATTTATTTTGAGTTCTTTTTGTGTTTTTTGATTTTCCTTTTTTTCTAACTAGACGACCCTCTTGTTTACCTTATGACCGTTTAGGGTCTGCTTAGGCAGATAGGAGTGGGGGTAGTGCCTTGAAGCAGCAGGTAGTTACTTTGATCTCCCTGGTATTTTGGGAGGCAGCTAGCAGCTCAGGGCCAGCCGGGGTGTAAGAGTGGTGTATTTTGAGGTTTTTGATACTAAGCACCTCTAGCTTCTAGCTACTAGCTTAACATTTACATTACTCATCCTGCCCGTTGTTAGCATATTTAACCCGTATTTGCAGCTGTCTCACCACACCCAGGGACACTCTCACTACCAGGATACATTATTTAACCCTACCTCTACTCCCCCTTTCTGCTCTGATACTAAGTCCTGGACTTGGCTACTGTGTATAGACATTATTTCTTTTTTCTGTTTTTTTCTCATACAGTGCTCCTTGTGCCAGGTAACTTATAGAATCTACATTGGGGATACGTTCTAGTTAATATCTGTGAATACTTATCTCACTTACTTGAACACCCCTTAGGGGAATTTTTCTCTGGCAATCTTCATAGCCAGTTATATATATAATTTTAATATGTATGTCTTTTTCCATTAAAGGTCTTAGAACCCTTTGTATATAGTACATTTACTTTTGAGAGGTATAGATTTATGAATGAACAGGTCTTCCATCTGTATATCTTATTCTGGTGGTCTTCCAGTTCATTTTCTCCTTTTTTTTCTTTATAGTTTGCTGGGGTTAAGCCCCTTATACCTCTTGTAACCTTCACAGAGTCTGGGGAGTTGAGTAATCTCAACACCCTATATACTCTGTCTTTTTTTCCATTTTCTTTTTTTCCCCTGTAATCAGACAGCGGCCTGACCTGACACAATGTTCCTGTTCTTCAACATCTATTTATCTCTTTGCTTTCAAATCACATGGAGGGTTTTGGATCTGACACAACACTTTATTATTGGATCAGGCAAATAATTGTGTGGTGGCCATTGGTGTAAGACATTATCTCACCCAGGGCTTTACCCAGGGCAGGTGTACATGTTTAGCCTGTCAAGGTGTATATCTGATCTTATCTAGTGTCGGTCTCAAGGTGACTTTAAAACTGCAGCTGTGGCACTGGTGTGATTGCAACCTTTTCACCCTTTCATCCTTTCCTCTCAGAACATGAGATTCACAGAAATGAGCAGCTGTCTACACATTGAAAGTGTGACAGTGCTAGACCTTTGTTGTTGTTCAGAACCGCTAAGTTCACTAAATATAATTACTCTTGAGAAATCCTTTTTGAAGTATGCACTCTACAAAACATACAGGTAGGCAAACAGTAATTACCGGTACCCTTCTGAAGAGAATTGTTTTAAATGGTGTCTATATGATTTAGTAATTCACAAGTAAATAATGGAGTGGGGAGTTTTGCATGTGGGTACTCCCCATGCAGATGTTTGAGTTGTATACAATATAATAAACCTACAAGACTCTAATGTTAAAAAAAAAATTCATATTCCCTACTGTACTTGTTGATGGGCCCCTTTTTATATATGCTTTTCTATGCGAAAGTGGACACGATTGTCAAAAATCAGGTCTTCATTTCGGAGGTACTGCATAATTGCAGATTTTATGCCTAATTCCTTTCCTTAAAAATAGGGGTGCGGCCATTATGTGTAGCTTTGTTTTTTGCAATACTATATGCAACCATTATGACTCCTTATTAGGTTTAGGGTACCCCATGTGACCAATGACACGAGGGCAGAGGAGCGAAGTTTCGGTGAACGCCATGTAGAAATTCTAAGATGAAACCATTATGTTTTTGTTGTTTTTTAAAACAGTTGCTAACATTATGGACATAAGAAACTGGAATACTAGCACTTGTGCAATGGCTGCTTGGACTTCCCAAACCAGTGTCTCTTCCGTCTGGATGTAGATAAATGTTAAAAGGGCATGTTGTAGGGAAGCAGCACCTTCAGTAATGTCAAATTTCTGGAACTTAAACTAAGCTCCAAATGTATTTGCTTGGACGGTATGATCCCAGTCTATGGATATGCTGATATAGCTCCTGGTCCTGTGTTAGGAGGTATCCTCAGGCCTGTCAGCAGTGGACTGCAATTACCAGTTGTTGGGGATGTTTTCTTTCAGTGCGTTGTATTTCAGCAGCAAAGGTACACCAGCAGAGAAATATAAAAACAAAAAATAGTGCTCTCTATATGGATAAATAGGAAACAAAAAGCATAAAAGGAGAGCAAAGTGAAGTTTTGCTCAATCCTATAAAGATTAGGTGTTATCTTCCCCACCTATGAAATTGAAGTATGGGATCCTCCAGGTAAAATCTGAGATAAAATCAGGAAGGCCCAAATAATGTAAAAACTACTTCTGCAACTGTCATTAGTCTAATACTATCCTTACCTTTTTGTGTAATTTTACCCCACTCCCTCTAGCATGTAAGCTCATTGAGCAGGGCCCTCAATCCCTCTGTTCCTGTGTGTCCAACTTGTCTGGTTACAACTACATGTCGGTTCGTCCACCCATTGTAAAGCGCTGCGGAATTTGACGGCGCTCTCTAAATATCATCATAATAATACCAAAACTAGTCATTGCTTGAATGGAAAGTGAACTAAATTAACATAGTAAAACAGGCATAGACACATGATCCAGTTACCACTCCATTGATCATCAGCTGAGAGTAAGAGAGAGAGTAAAAGGGTGTGTATAGTGGGGAGAGGGAATAGAGAGAGAGGGGGGGGTGAGGAGAGAAAATTCAAAGAGAGAGAATGTGCTATACACAGGGCTTTTAACAGGTAAAGCCCTTCCTTCTGCTGGACACACCTCCCTCAGTCAATCCCTCAGGCACCCCCTATCAGTCCTGCATTTAGGGATTACCCTGTTGTGTCTAAAGTGTTTTTGTCCCCCCCCCCCAAAAAACACCTTAGACACAACTAGGTTATCACTAAATCCTGGACTGTTAGGGGGTACTTGAGGACTGGGTTGAGAAACACTGCCTTAGGATCTAACAGAACCATAGTGACTCCTGGGGGAAGAGGGATTGCAATGGAAGGAAATGGAGGAATTTATCAACAACCAGACTGGTTTTGCCTGGTGAAAGGCCATGTGCTTCACCATTATTGCCTAAGGGTAGAATGGGGCTTGAATCCCTGTATTAGAACATAATAACACTTCATTGGCATACCGTTTGGCTGTTAATCAGTCCCCCCATTTATTACAGATTTAAGTGTTTTGCTTACTGGTTTAAAAAAATTATTGTAAAATGATGCATGTCCCTTTAACTGACACTTATTTTTATTCTTTCTACCCCCACCCCTTTATATCCTTTAGGATTCCATGTAATTCCAACCCTGTCAAATGTTGTTCCAGAAAGCTGCCTTCTGATTGTTGTTGGTCTTCTGGTGGGTGGACTTATAAAAGCAGTGGGTGAAACTCCTCCAGTTTTAAGGTCGGATGTGTTTTTCCTGTTCTTGCTGCCCCCTATTATCCTTGATGCAGGATACTTTCTCCCACTGCGTCCTTTTTCTGAGAATTTGGGGACTATTTTAATGTTTGCTGTGGTGGGCACACTGTGGAATACTTTTTTCTTGGGTTCTCTGCTGTATGCTGTGTGCCAGATTGGAGGTCCACAGCTTTCAAACGTCAACCTCTTGGCCAATTTGTTGTTTGGCAGCATTATTTCTGCAGTGGACCCAGTAGCTGTGTTGGCGGTTTTCGAAGAGATCCATATTAATGAACTTCTTCACATCCTGGTATTTGGAGAGTCTTTGCTTAATGATGCCGTCACTGTGGTAAGTTGTATTTTTTTTTTCCTTCTTGTAGAACATCATTAGATATCTTTTGTAAAATGTTAAACTATTTAGTCTACTAGAAATTGTTGCAAGTTGCGTTTAAGTTATTTTTAAACATTGCTTTTACTTTTATTTTTGTTTGTTTGAAAATGAGACACCATAGTCCAACATTTTTTTGATTACTTTTTTTCTCACATTTATTACAATTTACCTCAGAAAGACCCATGTCCATAATGTCCATAATATCTATGCATTTTTTTCACCGCTTCTTGTGTCTATTGGTTTCATTACTCTTGGATGCAAATACTTGTTATTTATCCAGTGGATATTTTTCCTGCACAGGAACCATAGTAAAAACCAGTGGCCCAGCTTGTCACACCAGTAAAATAAAATATATTTCAAGGAGTTTTCCTTTGCCAAACTTAGGAGCAATTGACTACCTTACATCCCCCAAATAAGAATTCAATCTGTATGTTGTGAAACTAATAATTATGGCCCCAGCTAACATACACACTCAAGTATCCAATAACACCTGGCGTTCCTTGGCACTTGAAGGGATTTAACCCTGGTGGTACGTTTAATGTATGGTCTCTGCTGTCAGTGTGCTTGTTAAGGAGTTAAAATGATAAACAGACTTAATCAACAATAGGTTTGAATGTTGAAAATGGCCAACTTAGACTACTAAGGCAGTATTTTTACTTAAAGGCCTCTAAATTCCATATGACTGCTATCACTGACTCCGTGTGACTGATTGCATCTTTCTGTGGATATGGTGGAGGAGATTTATCAAAGTGTTTTGTTATAAAAAGTGGTGCAAAAATGTATAAACTGGTGCCATAGTAAATGTCCCACATTTTGTAGTAGGTTTTTTTTATTTATTTTTTATTTTTTTTAAACAGCACTTCTACCAAATTGGAAAAGCTTTCTCATGTTTTCCTTTCATACAGGTTCTTAACTTGAGTTTCCCATCCTGCCCCATTAGCCTTCATGTTACTTTGCTTATAATTGAATAATCTTTTTGTTTTATTACTTCTCACAACATATGCTATACTGTGGCTTTATTCAAAACAGATTATTTTTTTTTATTCTCCATTCAGTAGTTCTTTCTGTCTTCCTGTTTGAATACTATAATTTTTTTTCTCATACATTCTCTCTATTCATAGGTCCTTTACCACTTATTTGAAGAATATGCTGCCCTGGATCAACTCTCGTTCCGTGATATTTCACTGGGGTTCCTGAGTTTCTTTGTGGTGGCCCTTGGAGGGGTGTTTGTAGGAGTGGTTTATGGAATAATTGGAGCCTTCACCTCCCGCTTCACCTCTCACATCCGTGTCATCGAGCCACTCTTTGTATTCCTATATAGTTACATGGCATATCTGTCTGCGGAACTATTCCATCTCTCTGGCATTATGGCGTGAGTCTCTCCTTTCTCATCACCTTTTTGTGTACCCACTAATAGTAATTTTTCTATTTTACCACTGTCAAGTCTTTTTACTCATCCTCTATTATCATCTTTTACAGCTACAATTCCTAATTGTGTCTCTATGGACTCTCATGTGTGCCTTCACTTTCAAGTCTCATAATTCCATGTTCTTTGTATCCTGCCTTTATCCCAATTTCAGCACAAATTTCATCTCATTCTGACCATTCTCTTTTGATTGCCTGCATTCTATTCCTGTCCCATTTTATGCTCTCTTTAGTTTGTCAAGCTATCTTCATGGGCACTTGTTATGTTATGTTTTTGTTTTATTTTTGGTCAATCTAAGTGTTTTGTTTGTAATTTAGTCTTATAGCCTCTGGAGTGGTAATGAGACCATACGTTGAAGCTAATATTTCCCACAAGTCACACACTACCATCAAATACTTCCTGAAGATGTGGAGCAGTGTAAGCGAGACGTTAATTTTCATCTTTTTGGGGGTGTCCACCGTAGCTGGACCTCACTCTTGGAACTGGACCTATGTCATCAGCACCCTTATCTTCTGTCTGATAGCACGTGTTCTTGGTATGCTGACATACATTTTAACTTGTTTTAACACTGGTGATAATAGGCTTAACTGTGCTCAAATCTGTTTGTATGTGTCCTCTATTTACTGTTAAAAGTAGTTGGACAAAATGCTGCCTTGCTGGTTCGATTTTTAAATATGTCCTCCGTTATTTATGATTTTAACCAGCTCACTGGAACGGTGATTTCCTTTGAAGGGTGGGAATGGGAATTGATGGAAGCAAACTCAACATGGTCATACCTATGTGACATACAAGGATTTATGGATTTAATTATGCAAGTGTCACTATAGTTGTAGGTATATATAATTCCATTTCTTCATGAATTAGTCTGGAGGTGGAAGGTAAGAGGCAGAGTTGACACAGTATGCAGTTTGCTGGTGGAGGAGTCATCAAGGAAAGAGGCCACTGTACTACATACAAGTGATGATTCTGTCCTCCTACACCTACAGTGTTGCAAAAGCACAGAAACATTCAGCTAAGTTTTTTTGTATCTATTGCAATTGAACTTTTTATTTTCCTCCTCACTGAAAGCTTTCCCACTGCACTATGTCTCTCCTATTTTAAGTAAACTATTAAAAATAGCTGTATTATAAACCTCATGCAAATTGGGAATCTCCCCCAGAGTTGCTGTTTTGACCTGATGGGAAGTTCAATTTCCATTTCTTAATTAGGGAATTAATTAACACAATTATGTTTTTGGACTCCAAATTGGTTTTAGGGCTGGCCTATCATGACCAGCAATGAATAAACAATACTTATATTGGACATCAAGTCAATTGTGTGGCTTAGCATAACCCTACATAAGTATAACTCCAGCATTTCTAACAAATGCCTTTTTAGATTGAAGGTTTTCTGAGACATGATCACAGATATGTAATGAGCGGTACTATAATCATCAAAATATAAAGGCTTTTTATAGACTTACAAAGTTGGTCCATGGATATATATATATATTTTTTTTTTTTTTGCTTCCTTCCCTGTCTGCTATATTAATAAAATGTCAAGTACTTTCACAGTGATATTGTTTATCTTGTGATAAGCAGTTGCACAATTGTTATACAATACTGTGTACTCACTGTGTGAATTATAACACTAAAATTTCCGCAATACTGGCACAAGGGTGATGACTACACATCTGTAGCTTACAAGCTAGGATTGGGACTGATCTGCAAGGCCTGGGAGTGGACAACTTGTTCAGTAATGCTCTGATAACATCTGGACTACTGGTACTACAGTTGGTTACCTCAGTGGTGGTCCAAACACTGGTGGAGTGCTGTGGGAGCCTTTCATTTCCTAACTGGTTTCTCTTCTGTTATCTAAACCGCTATTAAATGCAGTGCTGTTGCTCACAATTGAGCAGTGAGAGGTGGTTTGGGATGGCTATGCAATGTTGGAAAGGATCTTGAGGGAAACCTTAATTGTGGGGGTAACCATGTATGTTGTACCCAGGTAACATAAACCTCTATACCCTGTGATATACTTAAAAATGGAACATAAGTGTATATTTTCTGGTAAAGTATTTATGCTCTGAATTTCTTTTCACTAGGTGTCCTTGGCCTGACTTGGTTCATTAACAAATTTCGAATAGTGAAACTGACTCCAAAGGACCAATTTATTATAGCATATGGAGGTCTACGAGGAGCTATTGCTTTCTCTCTGGGATATCTGCTGGATAGTAAACATTTCCCAAGAGATATGTTCCTTACTGCAATCATCACAGTCATCTTCTTCACTGTCTTTGTTCAGGTAAATGTGGTGGTGCGGGTTGGTGAAAAATATTCGGAGGACATGATATATATGGAGAAACTAAATGATATAGATGGAGAAATGGGATATTAATGGATAGTTCCTCTTTCTTGGAAAATAAGTTGCTACAACACAAAACCTTTTTTTAATTTTAATTTTTTAAAGAAATTCGTTCCATGTTGGTCGTCCAGTGGCCATGATATTCAGTCTGCAGCTCGGCTGGGTGCAGAGCTGCAGACCATGTGTCTCACCAGGGCTGATCCTGGCTGGCTGCAGGCCTCTTTCATTCGCCAGCAGATGTCTGTTTACACCACCAATCTGTTTGTGTGTCTCTTTCTTCCCCCAGCCCTTTGTCCATCTGTTTCTCCCCCAACTCCTTTGTGTCTTTTTCCCCTTCCCCAGTCCATCTGTCTCTCTCTTGTGCCCACCAGCCCCTATGTGAGTGTTTGTCTCCCCTCAGCCCAGGGCCAGACTGGGGATACGAAGCAGCCCTGGAAGAAAAATTTATGCCAGCCCCATAAGTCATTGCGCCATATATTGCCATATGTAATATGTAAGTCAATGTCTTGCCACCCCAGATGGTTGAGTAATATATATTTCGAATATATATTGCTTTTTCAGAGAAAAATGTTTAATTATACAGTAAGCATACTCACATGCAAACACAGACAATCTCACTGACACACACAAGCTCATTGATACACAGCCTCATAGATAAACAATGTCTCTGATATACATAAGCTCATTGGCATAAAAACACAAGCAAGCTCACTCACTAGCAAGCACACACACGCATGCAAGCTCACTCACTCACTCACTAGCAGGCACACACACACAGCTTAATGTAGTGGTTCTGGTGTCTATAGCCTGTCCCTGCAGGCTTTTCAATGTAAACACTGACTTTTCCGAGAAATGGCAGTGTTTACATTGCTTCCTAGTGACACCTCTAGTTACAGTCACTCAGTCACTAGAGGTGCTTCCCGTGTCAGTGCTGCACAGTGTGCAGCACCTACATTCAGGGCCTTTGCAGCCAATCCAATGGCCGAGCATTGGATTGGCTGAGATCATCAAGCTTGATGATCTCAGCCATAGAGGAAGGGCCAGTCGAGGGGAGACCAGCAGGGAGTAAAAACTCTTTTTAAATACACACAGACACCCCATGGCAGACAGACACCGATTACCTGTGGGTAACCGGCTGGGTGTGCTAGTGGCTTCTGGGGGAGGTCTGCTGGCGGCTGCTGGGGGAGCTGGCTGCTCTCTCTGCTCCCCCGCCCTCATGCGCAGCTTAATGAGACCGGGGCCGGAATATGACCCAGGTGTCTGCCCGGCCCCAGGTGCAGACGGCCGGTGGGCCAGTCTGGCCCTGCCTCAGCCCCTCTGTGTCTTTGTCCCATCCGAGCCCCTGTGTGTCTGTGTCCCCAGCCCATATGTGTGTCACCCTGTGCCCCCCAGATCTTCTTTGTGCCTTTTCCCTCCAGGCACCTCTGTGTGTCTTTGTGCTCTTCCCCCCCCCCCTCCTGTGCCCTCTTTAGCCCCCCTCTCCTACTGTGTACTCTTTAGCCCCCCTCCCTTCTTACCCTTATGTAGCCCCTCATCCCTCCTGTGCCCTTTTTAGCCTCTCTCCCCTTGTGTAGCCCCCTTCCATCCTGTGCTTTTCTGTAACCCTATCCCCTCCTGTGCTTTTCTGTAACCCTATCCCCTCCTGTGCTCTTCTGTAACCCTCTTTCTCTCCCCCTCTTTCTCTCCTGTGCCCTTACGTAGCTCTTGTTCCTTCACCCCTCATGTGCCCTCTTTAGCACCTTTTTTCTCCTGTGCCCTTATGTTGCACCCCTCCCCTGTGTCTGCTCACCTTCCAGCCTAGCTAGAAACCGCAGACAGAAGTTCAAATGTTCTACCAGTTCCGCACAGATCCAGTTTCCTGCTGGCCAGTTTTGCTTTAAAAGCTGGATCAGGAGAAGCTTGTGACGCAAAACACTTCATCTGAAGAGGCATGACCAACAGGAGACAGATGTTAGATACTTGCCTAAAGACCTTATTCCCTGTATTTGTAAATGTTAATATATTTGTACATTTTTCGTATAAAGGGGATGACAATACGTCCTCTTGTGGAGCTGTTGGCAGTGAAGAAAAAACAGGAAAGCAAACGGTCTATTAATGAGGAGATCCACACACAGGTAAGATTCCAGTGCACCCCAGACTTGCATTTTGAAATGTTCCTGCATATGTGTTTGCAAGTATACTCCTGTTTTATATGACCACCTACCAGTGTATTCATGTATCGAAGATTCCAAAGTACTAAACGTCTTCCTTTCTGTATGTCTTTCTTCTTAAAAAGCAGTGTATAATTCAGAACCAGATTTCTATTAAATTAATACTTTAATAACATTCCTAGCATACCCTGCAGTTGAACAATCCAATTTTAGACTAATGCTGCTCTCCTTTTTTCCCCTATTAGTTTTTGGATCATCTTCTGACAGGAATTGAGGATATCTGTGGTCACTACGGCCACCATCATTGGAAGGATAAGTATGTTACCTTGATTGTAGTAACATAAAGTTACACAAAAAGTAGACTATAAAAGCTTAAATGTAATCTTATGTAACACCGGTGCAGTAGATGTTTACAGCTCGTATTAATGAAGCAAAATGCCCTAATTTACCTTACCATTGCCCTCCAGTTTTGAACAGTTTGACACCTTTTCAGGATAAAAACCTAGCAAGTGAAAGTTCACTGGTCTAGGTTTGGAATTGAAGGGCAGTGAAGATAAATGAGCATTCTACAGATGTTTACATAAAACCCTTATTACTAAATATAGAATAGTAACTATACTTGCCTTTCATCCACCTGTTCACCATTGATGAGAAAGAGATGCTTCGAGATGACACAGCCAGCGTCGCTTAAACTATAACTGTGCACTGGGCCGGCCATTAGGTGCCCTGTGCGAAAAGTCTTCATGGCGCCCCTCCCCAGTCATACACCTTCATCCATATATATGTTTATGTGTATAGGTGCGTAGGCTTGTATAGAGGATTTACAGGCAGACAGTTACAGGCAGACAGTCGCACGCGCTCAGTTACAGGCAGACAGTCGCACGCGCTCACACACAGTTAAAGTCACACGCGGGCGGGCATGCATGCAGTTAAAGTCACACACAGGCATGCACACTCAGTTAAAGTCACACACAGGCATGCACACTCAGTTAAAGTCACACACAGGCAGGCGGACAGTCGCATAGGCAGGCAGTCGCGCGCGCACACACACGCACTTACCTCTTTCCATTACGACTGGAAGGGAGGAGTGGAGGCAGTGCAGCTATAGTCTAGTTGTAAGCAGGGACTCCTGCCTCTGCAGCCATTTAACACCACCTCTTCCACTAGTAAGCCCCCCTTGCTGCTGTTCTATTTTTTTTCATAGTCCAGGGGACCTGATTTGGCACCCCCTGCACTCCTGTCACCTGGCCGTGTGTGAGGTCTGTCAGCCACATGGCGCCCCGTGCTCCCTGACTGTGAGAGGTAATTTCTTTCTCACATGCAACTTGTCTTCAAGTTTACATGCATGGAAGTACTGGGAATTGAAAGGTAGATATAATTCCTCTAGTCTACTGATGTGCATAAAGCAGTGTAGCAACACTTGTAAAGCGTGAATTACACTTTGACTTACATTGAAAGCTGTAAACAGATTAATAACCAAAATTTAATTCTCCAACTAGGCTGAACCGTTTCAATAAGACTTATGTGAAGAAGTGCCTTATTGCTGGAGAAAGGTCTACAGAGCCACAATTGATTGCCTTCTATCACAAAATGGAAATGAAGCAGGCAATAGAGTTGGTAGAGAGCGGTGGTGTTGGAAAGATCCCTTCAACAGTGTCCATGCAGTGAGTTGGTTTGAGAGAATCTTTGTTTGCACATGGTTGGTTAAGTGCAAAAATGTAGGGACTAGTGGAAATTGTCCAAGAGCAGCTCGGGAGGGAAATTGATGGTGGGGGAAAAAAGCCAACATGTGAATAAAAATTACTTTTTTGTTGAGAATGTCAAAGGATCACTTCATTGAAACCTATTTTAATTAGGAATGTAGTAGATATATTCCCAAAGAAAACATGAATTATTTTTTTTCCTGTATGCAAAAGCTGCAGACTTCATACAGTCTGTGCAAGGGAATTGACAAACTGGAGGGTTCTTGTTGAGCATTACACACGTAGGTACAAAGGAGCAATCGAGACCATAAAAAGCAGACCCAGATGTAACAAAATAATTGGGTAAAAGTGTAGGAAAGGCTCCACCATTGACCAAAAAAAATTCCTACCGCACACAAAATAATTACCTGCCAGGGTTAACTCCACCTCTGTCTGTCTGGTAGACAGACACTAGAGAGACTTCTGGATGGTTAGGTGACTTTTGGTAAGCATAAGCATTGAAAGTCATGTTTCAGTGTTTGCAGATGACGCAAAACTTTGTACAGTAATACAGTGTGAGCAAGATAGTACTTTGCTGCAGAGGGATTCTGATTGGGGGTCTGATTACTCAAATGGCAGATTAAATTTAATGTAAAAAAATGCAGAGTTATGCACTGCAGGGTAAAGAATGCACAAGCAACTAATACTCTAAATCAGCAGTTCCCAAATTGTGTGCCGGATGCCATGAAATATTTCCCCAGTGCTATGATCATATGATCATAGCACTGGGAACCATCCGTGCTTTGCTCTCCCCTGCTGGCTCTGCACATACACACAATTACCCCTCCCATACACACAATACACCATATAGATCCAGTAATTCAGGAAGCAGAATTATTTTGTGTTTTCTTATTCACTGTAGGTCTATACAATTCCTGGGCAAATAAATAGCCATGTTTATTTTGGGATTTGAGTTGTGATATTGATCAGGTGAAAGTGCTGTGATTTATTAATTACTCTGAATATTCCTTCTGTGTAGGAACATTCAGCCTAGGCCTAAGACAATAGAAAGATTTATCCCAACTTTGTCAAAGGTGAAAGAGGAGGAGATTCGCAAAATCCTTCGCACTAACTTGCAGAAGACACGTCAGAGGGTGAGAACAATTTTTAACCGAAAACAATCTAAGCTTCCATCCACTTCCTCTTAGCTTTCAGTATTCATAGTACCTTTGTTTTTTGTTTTTTCTGTGCATTTAACTATTTCTTTGTTTATCGTCCAAACTGTGTGCAATTCTAAACTTTTTTGTTCACTTTGCTTCCCTCAGCTGCGCTCTTATAACAGGCATACACTAGTGGCTGATCCATATGAAGATGCCTGGAACCAGATGTTAATCCGCAGACAGAAATTACACCACATTGAACAGAGGGTGAGATGGGCAACTTTAGAAGAGTTGATTATTAATGAAGCTGAAGCAAAGAACTCGGAAGAGAGGCTAATGTATAGAATAAGGGTTTGTGTGTAACTGAATAAAACTGAACTGGGATTAAGAAGAATGTGGGGAAAATAAAAACATTAAGATGATGGAAAAGGAAACAAATGAAAGACTGCACTTGTAATGCATGGGAGCAAATAGTTGAAAACGAATATGAAGATTGTATAATTTGAGTTGTAATATGGCTTTCCTCTTTAATTTTTTTATTTTTTTATTTTAGACAAACAACTTCCTAACTGTCCCTGCACACAAACTGGACTCCCCCACTCTGTCTAGGGCTCGTGTGGGCTCAGGTGAGGATTAATGACTGGAGTGGATCTAATCTATATAATTTTCAATATTTCTTGTTAGTATGCCTTCATCTACCGGATAGTCCTGCCAAAGAAACTACTAACAAGTTTTAAAAGATGCACACTTAAAACTTTAGCTGCACGATAGGCCATTACCCACACATGAACATTCCATTATTTGCCATTCCTTCTTGCATGCGAGGCAGTCCTCCATTTCTACATGGATTAAAAAAATAAATCATAATATAATCACTTGTTTCTTTTTGGTATCCCAACAGGAGGTACTCATTGCTTCTGGGTAGTTCCAACACTCTATAGGTGTACTTGTAATGCTATTCTTTTCTCTGAGTACCTCTCAGGAGCTTGTAGTGTGGACCTATTCTTCTGCGGGCTTGCTTTCTTTCTAGCATAGGGGCATGATATTCTAAGTGCTCAATTCCTGGATCATGAGACTATCCTGAATCAAGCCAAGAAAATGTCGGTATTTATCTTAAGTATTGGAAAAACATTTCCTATTTTCATTTAAAAGTCAAAGGCCATAATCATTCAATATAACCAGCTTGGCTAGATAAGTAGTCTTTTGATAAGAGCCTCAAGTGGAGAGATGTTAAAGTATTTTCCCTTTTAGAAATTTGGCAAAATAACCTCCTGATGAACTTGAGATTTAAAGCGATTTCTAATCTTCATGTTCAAGTCAGAGGGGTGGGTAGTTTCTTATAGGAACTTAAATCTTCTCCTTTTGACTTTTGTGAGGTGCCTTTTAGGACCTCTAGAAGACATTCTTTTTAAGTTATTCACTTTGGAAGCTGACCACAACTATCACTTCACCCCTTTCGAGTAAAATGCTTTACATGATTTTACCATTGGATAAAGTGGTTTTAATGCAGTCACAATCACTGTATCTCCAGGTGTCATCAGACAAGACTTTCTAAGGGTGCTATATTAACCTACTTTTTGTCCCAAAGTCAGATTTAGGAAAAAAATATTTAATTGCCCGGATGTATGGATAGCCTTATTACAAGCAGGTAGTACACAGTCTACGCCAAACATATCAAACTCAAAGCACATGTCAACTAAACTCTAGCACGTGCCAACTAAACAAGGTTTAAGTTTATGTGGGCCGCAAAAAAAAAACTTACATTTTCATAGAAACTTAGGTTTATTTTGAAAAGTACAGTATAAAAAAAACGCATCCCCCTCTCCTAAATCCCAGTGTCCCCCCCCTTACTAAATCTCACTTCTCCCTTTATACTAAATCCAAGCCCATCTCCTATACTAAATCATTGCCCCTGTTTAAAAGACACTATTAGCCAACAAGCAGACTCCACTCACATTGCCACTGCCAGTATGCTGCTACGGAGTCCAGCCTCTGGTATACCCCCAATGGCGCCATCCGCACCCTGTGAAGGTGGAGCACGTGAACGTCATTTCAGAATGTGGCGTTGCGTGCCTCCGTGCACCTCCAGGTCCTCCACTGTCCAGCCACGGCCATCGCAACATTCACCGACACACACTCACTGACACACACACACACACATACACTCACTGACAGACACGCATACACACACACATTTACATCCTTGTACACACTCACAAATCATTTTATTTATTGCTGATTGCTTCCTACCTTTGGGAGCTGGTGTGGGGCCTCTACATGGGATCCAGTGGGGATCTTCTCTCTGGAGGTCTCCCTTCCTGTTCTCTCACGTGCGCTGTTTAGAAATGCCGGGCCACAATGACTTCATATTCCAGCACCCGGCATCACAACAGAGGGTGCACGCGAGCAGCGAGGAGCAGGAAGACCAGACTGCGCTTGCTACTGCCAGCTTCCTGTTTCCTCTCCACCTGGCCTGTTTTAAATTTCTGCAGAGTAAGAACCTGCAATGTGGGGAGAGCAGGTACCTACTCTGCCTTAACAGTAAGCACAGCTCCGGGGGTGCCCCTAGTTGGCCAGCTGCCCACCAATTGGGCTCCATATTACACTCAATCTACTCGCTTCTAGCTGGGCCACATATATATTCATTGTGGTCCGTGAGTTTGACAAGCTTGGTCTACACTGTTCTTGAAACAGGATAAAAAGACACTCATGTTGTATTACTTTGAAGGTTTCCCCAGCCAAATGGATAAAGTTCACTATTCTAACAGCATTTGAGAAAGCATGTTTGTTACCAATGGGAATATTCAAAGCATTATACGCTTCCTGAGCAGCTAAAGCAGGAGTATCGGCTGACCAAATATGCAAAGGCTCCTCCAGCCATACCTGATGTACACTTCAGTTTGATGTCTTAAATGTATAAAATGTGGTTATCATAAACCACTTTTATTAGTTAATGTTGCCTGTATGAAGGTCATTTGAATTGGGTACAGTGTTATTAGAATATAATTTGTATTTAGTCTTGGTTATTTTAGTGTTAAATTTGAAATTTACATTACATGAATTCCTTACAAATAAAAATTTCCAAACTGTCAGCATAGCTGACTTGGATTTAGTTTTTTTCTTAATTTTGGCCTTTGAAATTCACTCTGCATTCCAGGTGAGATTTTTTTTTCTTTTTCATTTCCAGAACTTACATGTCAGCTTCCAACTCCTTCTAGTATTTCCAACACCTCTTGCTTCCCTTTTATTTAATTTGTTTCTCTTTCTCTTCCCCATAAATAGTGCAGATTGTACCACTTGCATTTTCTTTCCCATCCCCTTCAATCCCTCACCTTATTTCTCCTTTGAGGCCTTTAACATCTCGTCATGTCTTTTTTCCATTGGGTGAGTGCAGTTGCCCATCTTTAACCCCCATGGTAGTTTTATTTTTATTTTTGCCTTTTTTTGCCTTCTCCCTGTTCTTTCCGGTCATACTTTCTATCATCTTAATTCTGCCTAAATATTGTTTTCTCGTAACTATACTTTTTATTCCGTCCTCCCTTACTGCCATCAAGTAATTAGATGTTCTTCACAAAACTGCAATAGGACCTACAACATGGAATCTATGACATGATAGACATTACATACTGTTACAATATGCCTTTCCCCTTTGTGCTATCAAATGACAACCACAATGCCTTCTTAGACTTGACCTATATGGTCTCTTAAATAGTCTGGTTGACTCTGAATCTAATCACAATTTTCTTTTCACTATTCCTTAGACCCCCTTGCCTATGAACCTAAACCAGATTCTGAAGGTCTCCCAATGATCACTATAGACCCTGCATCACCAGAGTCTGTAGAGATGATGAATGAGACACAAGAGGACGAGGATGAAATTGGTATCACCATGAAGATCCAGGAACCTCCCTCACCTGGAGCAGATGATGTTTTTGCCCCTAGTGATAGTCCAAACTCTCAACGTCTTCAGCGCTGCTTGAGTGACCCAGGGCCCCAACCAGAGGAGAGCCAACCTTTCCTTCAAAAGCCAGAGTGATTCCTTTGACATACTGAACTGTGCAAGATAGCAGTGGGCCTACATCAGAAGAAAATGTATCGAAGTTTTTATATATATATATATATATATATATATATATATATTTATTTTTATCCCCATGCCTCAACACAGCTATTATTGTCTGTTATCATTATCCTTTTGTACACTTCTTTTCAACTTTGTCCCTTTCTCTGGTTATCGATCACACTGTTTTCCCTTCTCCTTTTATTTTATTTTATTTATATAATTTTTTTTTATTGGGACTTTAATTACCAGGCCTGTTTTCTCATTCATTCCCACCTATTCTTTTTTTAAATTTGTTTCTAACCAAAGAATATTGAATTTATTTGTATATTTGGTTCACATCATATCACATTTTTGTACATGGTACTTTTTGCTGTATTTTAATTCATATGTATGCTCTATTTTTGATTGCTGATTGCAATGGGAGTGGTTTTTAAAGGGCTTCCTTTGCAAATATGTATTTGAAAGGGGTTAGTGAGTGTTCTCTCCTATTTGTAATCTGTGCAGCTGATGCAAGATGGATGTTGTGAAGAGTTAATGCCAGGAACTAGCAAATCTCTAAGAATTTTAGCCTATTTGTAGTTGGGCACTGCCCTGCTCCACAAGAGCATAGTATGGGCCGTTTAAGTCACTTGAACATTCCAATACACATGGATTCACAAGAAAATCTTCTTAACCCCTTAAGGACACAACTTTTGAAATAAAAGGGAATCATGACGAAATATTTCCGTCATGTGTCCCTAAGGGGTTAACCCCTTGAGGTTCAGCAAATTTTTCCATCCATCCTATACCAGCAAGGAATGTCAATCGTGTTTAACAGTTTTGTCCTGATGCTAAATTATGAGAACATTTTGGAAAAGGTTAAGACCAGGTTAACTCTTAAATTATAAAAAATAAAGACTTTGGGGAAAAACCAATGTTTTTCAGACACGAGTAATTGTTGCTTTAAGATTCAAAGAATTTATCAGTCAAGGAATGAGTTCCTGTACACAAATTTCACAACTAGACATCTTAGCATCCCAGCTGCAAGTTCTTTCATGTGAATGTATAAAAACAAAGTGTGTATATACATACACACGTGTGCACATTAGCTTTGACCCCCAACACACCAGCAGCAAATATGTTAAAACAGAAATCACTGTATAGACCAATGTTTGTTTATTTAGAATGCATTACTTCCTCATTCACCACAATGGGGCATTTATATGGATAGGCAATGGGGAAGTATTAAATTATTATAAAATTCTTTGTGAGCGTTGTAAAAATTACATGAAATGTATGTATTTGTTCTCACAAAGTATAGGACAAGAGCTATTACCGTTACCAAGCTAGTCACTCCATGCTTGTTGGAATTACAAAACTAATACTATCCTCTTTATTCATAAGGCGCCTACATATTCAACAGTAATGTAGAGTGGGTAGGCCTACCACACTATACAGATAAAGTGGGACAAGTTGGGTGATTGGAAAACAAGTGATGATTGCTCTGCTTAAACGAGCTACATCATTTATGAATTTATCTTGCTCTTGCCGTAAGGGCAAATATTTTAGTGCACCATTGGGAACACATGCTTTTCACTTAGCACGGCTTCTACAAATGTGTATATAAGAGAAAAAAATATATATATAATTGTGCAATAATAACAGTGCCAGCAACTGCGTCCGTGTGTGAGGGGAGTGTGCAAATGCATAATGTGCCTTTGCTCTGCACGTCTAAGAATGTGTTGTATGAAGTGACGAAATGTGTGTATATTCACATACGTGTAGGGGTGCCTTTGGGTGCACAGTTTTCCCACACATGATAGCGCTCTAATTTTATCATTAGAAGAGAGTGTTTCTGGCATATGTGACAAAAACTAGGATTTCTTTTTATTTGAAGATTACAAAATAAATGTAAATTTTTAATGCGGTCCCTTGTTTTTGTTGTTTTTTTTCCATTCTCTTCCTCTTTAAGGTTTGACGTTCACTTCCTTGTAGTAACACAGGTGTCGCCACTAGATGGTGGTACATCCATACTCTTGCATTTGTCTAGCCAGTGCTTTGATGAATTGCCCTAATCCATTAACTACAAGTTATTTGTTTACATTGAGACTTAAATATATGCACGTAACAGTGAAAAAGTCTAAAAAACAAAAAGGTGTACATTTTAATCTCTGTATAGACCCTTGCAATTTAGTACATGAGAGAATATGTAGTGCTTATGTTTTATGACCACATTGTGCATGAGTTAGGGCTTGAAACTGCAAGAACCTAGCACGTACATGTTCACTTCAAGATGAAAACAGGCTCTAGGAAATGTTTTGTTCAAGAGACTGACTAATCTGTGTTTGCAAATACTTCACCATTTCAAGGCTTGTCCTGTAACAGTAAATGTGTGCCTTTTCAACAATGTTGGAACTTTGAAACAATGGTTTCCAACCACCATCAACTTGGCTGGAGAATGCAAGAGATTTGTTACATACTAGATTCCCTTTTGGGTATGTCTGTAAATATTGTATAGAACATATATTCAGGTACCATGTTTAAAAGATAAATTTCCTCCGTTAATAAAATGAAATAGGAATGATTATATTTTTTTCCAAGCTGAAATATCGCGTTTGTAAAATGATGAAATGAGTGCAATAATTGTAGAAATGCCAGTGCAAACTAAGAAAGAAATGTGAGTTTTATTTAATTGACTCCATAAGTCATGTAATAAAAAAGATAAAAGGGGGAAAAACTGAGTATAGCTATAACTATGCACATAGCTCAGGTAGTAACCCTGTACTAACCCAAACTGCAGAAATGTTGGGGTATGTACTCTCTCACTATGTAAAATTTATGGTATGTCCAACAGATGTTAAATCTCTAAGATTTTGGTTTGTTGTTAAATTTTGTGATTTTTATCTGACCTTCCTACAATGGGTTATTACATTTTTAGATTACTATGTGAATAAGCATATATTTGCACTTATTTTGTTTAAATCTCAACAACAAAAAAGACAATGGATTGTGTGCTGGGGTGCCAACTGGAGAACTTTGACTAGGGCATTTGAACAGAGATGACCTGAATGCACTATTATGGCTTCTACAACTCACATTTTCAAGGTTGCTGTGTCAGTGTTGGCAACCCTTAAGCCATACAACATGTGAGCACATTAATGTGTTTTATGCCCCATTACAAAAGTTATATCATATTGTTATTTAACGTTTAAGTACTTCAGCTTTAGCTCAATCATATTATTTGCACCATCCTGAGGAGTTAGACATATGCATTTTATGTTCCTTTTTTCTCTCAACTTTTCGCCTCTGAAACTTTTTTACTGTTTTTTTCTAAATAGTTCTTCATAATTGTAGCTCAACTATATATTTTTATTTTTGGAATTCCTCCTATTATATATAAATTCTGTTAGTCCAATAAAAAAGTTATTACAAGATAAGAATTTTATCTGTTTTTTACATCTACATCACTGGACTAATACGGCTACAATCTCTACTTGAACACTATAATTTTTTTTTTATTTTTTTTTAACAGATGCCCAAATATTGCACTGCATTTTAAGTGTTGGGGTCCTATCACAACTCTAGATAAGGTAAAAAGGAAAAAAAAAATCACATGCATATATGATTCTTTTAATATCCGTTAAGATTGCATATTCACACCCTCCATTGATTATTAAATAGTCTCCACTCTTGAGGGGGGGTGGGAGGGGGGAGGGTTGACAATGGCATATTCACACCTTCCAACTCCATTATTCATCAGACCTCAGCCAATGCCCATCGTGGGGGACAGGGCCGGATTAAGAGCCCATTGGGCCTGGTGCTGACCGTTATGACAGGCCTATTGACAGAATCTTATCAAAAGAAAACACTAAAACAGTTCTACCTCCCAAGGGTCATGTATCTGGTGGAGGTGGTGCTGGAGGGAAACTCACAGGATATATCAGAAAACACAACGTATGCCAGCTTTTCCCAATTGGTGTTCTGTGGAACCATGGGGTTCCGCTGTGATTTGCCAAACAAAATGGCCACCACTATTTTATCGCATAACAGGGGCCCGGTGGCATGATGCGGCCCTTTTAGAGCACGTCCAGGCCAAGCTGGGAAGAAGTGATAGCAGATCACTTCCTTTTAGCTTCACAGAGTTGCTGCCGCACAGTAGGAAGGGAGGAGGAAGCTGGAGACGGCTGCCCAGAGAGGGAGCAGCATGAATGGCAGAGGAGAGGCTGAAGTGAGCATGCATCAGCTTACGCCCATCCGCCTCAGCTAACATCACCAGGACCACAAGCAAGCCACCCTCCCGGACAAACTAGATAAGCTAATAGGGTGGCTCTGATGTGTGTATCTGTGTGTATGTGTCACTGTGTGCATTGGAGTGTGTATGTACCAATATGTGAATGTGTATATGTCAGTGTGTTTGTATATGTCAAGGTGTGTGTATCTCTGTGTGTAAATGTCAGTATGTCTGTCGGGGTGTGTGTCTGTGCGTAGGCCAGTGTGTATAGGAATGTGTGTCTGTATGTACGTGGTAGTATATGTGCATACATCCCAGCAATCCCACTTAACACAACATGCAACCACACCCCTGCAAACACAAACATTACATACAAAAACACCCCGGAATTCAAATTTATATACAAACACTTAAACACCAATACTACACACAAATGTACATCTGCATTTAAAAGCCAACAGTACATCCAAGCACACCCCTGCATGCAAATGCAAATATTACATACAAACACACCCTGTATCAAAACGCTAACTATATACAAACACCAACTGTACACACAAAAGCACACCTGCTCCAAAGTACTACTATCTGCGCTACGGCGACAAAATTATTTTGGGTGCTTGTAACGGATCGCCTGGCACCCCGACCGGGTTCCTCCGTCTATAGCTGCTTCCTAGTACTTACGAGTACCATAACCACCATAAACCGCCGCAGCTTGGTTGGGGTCTCGCCGTCCTCCACCCACCGTGGACCCAAGACCAGGATCCAGCTTCCAGTGGGTAGACTTCTCCTAGTCCAGAGAGCGTAGTAGGAACACGGGACAAACTGCAGAACTCCTTGCCCTCAGTCACCTTAGCTTGACTGGGACCCTGGAACCGCCACCTCTTTCCTGGATCCGAAGGGAAAATTAGCACTGACACTTCCAGGCACTGGACAACATTCAGTCCTGGAAACTCTGGAACCGAATGGGGAATTGGCTCTAGTCCTTACAAGGACTTTCCCCGTTGAATCTCCTGCAAGCTGGAACAGCAGACACAGGAGCAAATCTTCTTTCCCTCCATTAACTAGACGACACAGTTTTGGAGTGTAAGCAGGAATCTCAAGTTTATTTTGACAAATTGGCCTTTTCTACAATTTTCCAGGCCAGAGGAACACCCCCTGGACCTGATGGGGCACAGGAACACAAAGGACATAAACCAACCAGAACAAACATACAGTCTGTGACATGCCCATGTACAGCACACAATCCCTCCCCTCTGCTTAGGAAATAATTGAGTAAAGTCCTCTAAGTAACTCAATTATCTCCAGGCAGAAAAACCACATTTTCACAAAGTTCAGAAAGTACCCCAAAATCCAACATATCCCCATAAAGTCACATCCCCTGATAGCCCCTTTCTGGGTGAACAACATATCCAAAAATCACCCAGATTGGTTCAGGGGTTCAGGAATTTCCTGGAAGTCATAGTTTTGACCGACCGCAAGCATGGCCCCATGCCCAAAACAGTTCCAGGGAAATCAGTGCTAACAGTCGGTCAAGTTCGGTAGTCTTTTACAGGTTTCCCTGCAGGGCCCATAGTCTGGGCAGGAAGCTGGCAAGCAGGTTCCTCCTGGAGCTCGTGGCAAACTCACTTGAAAAGGGGAGTTTGTCACAGTGTTCCATGTTAGTACATTATGTCAAATGGTTCCACGGGAAAAAATTAATCGGGATACCCTTCCCTATGCTCTCAATTTCATCTTTCAAGTAAATCCATATCCCCTAAAAGCAGTGTGCGGTGAAGCAGGATTTTGGTGGGTGGGGTAAAAGGGAACATCCCAAAGGGACAAACATACCCATAAAGAGGGCATGTCTGCATGAAGAATTAGATGGTCAGCTTGGCGTGAATGCATGTCAATCATGCAGGATGACCAACCAAGGGCATACTGAGCAGACTGCACCCTCAGCTTGGCATAAATCCAGAAAATGTGTTGGCTCAATGCTTTCTAATGTCTGTCCCCTAGCACTCGCTGGTCCACTCCTGTCCTAGCTTTCTTACTAGCAGACAGAAGCTCATGTTATACACAATGATCACATGCATATATCATTATTTTTATATCCATTAAGACACTGGGTAGGCACGTGCGTGGGAAACATTTTCGGCTCGGTTCGGCAATTCGATACTTCGAAAATTCGGTAATTTCGGAACTTTGGGACCTTGGCAATTCTTGACTTCGGAATTTCGGAACTTCTCTTGCAGCCGCTTGGTAGATAACTGCTTAATTCCCACAGTATTATGGAGTTATCTACCAAAAGGCTGAAAGACCTAAATTGGTCTTTCAGCCAAATTTACTAATACTAAGTAAAGATTACTTAGTATTAGTAAATTATGCCCCTACTCGCTATACCGTGAGTAGGGGCATCTCTAGTAAACGGTGAGCTCACTGTTAAAAAAAAAAAAAAAAAAAGGGTCCCCCCTCCCGAGCCCCCACCCGTGACGCGCGAGTGGGGGCTTTTAAACTAAAGGGGGGGGCCTATTTCCCCTCGTCCCCCACCCCTGAGCGGCGGGTGGGGGCCCTAAATTAGAATGAGGGGGGACCTAATGTCCTCCCCTCCTGGCCCCCACCCCTAAGCGGTGGGTGGAGGCCCTAAGTTAGAATGAGGGGGGGACCTAATGTCCTCTCCCCTGGCCCTCAACCCTGAGCCCTGGGTGGGGGCCCTAAAAATGAATTAGGGGGGCTAATGTCCTGGCCCCCACCCCTGAGCGGTGGATGGGAGCCCTAAAAACTAATTAGGGACGGGGGGACCTAATGTCCTCTCCCCTGGCCCCCAACCCTGAGCGGTGGGTGGGGGCCCTAAAAACTAATTGGGGGGGCTAATGTCCTGGCCCCCAAATTAGAATGTCCTCCCCCTGGCCCCCACCCCTGAGCGGTGGGTAGGGGCCCTAAAAACTAATTAGGGGGGACCTAATTAATGTTCTCCCCCCTGACCCCCACCCCTGAGCGGTGGGTGGGGGCACTAAATTAGAATGAGGGGGCGACCTTATTTTTTTTTAAAAACTCCATATCAAACGCAGTGATATTAGAAAATTATTAGGCAGAAGCGGGATTAAAGCATTTTTAATTTAAAAACCTTAGAGCTGGATGACCTTAAATGCAGAATTTTATCTTTTAATTTCCTGTGAAAAAACTTTGTATTTGTTGTTGTATTTAAAAAGAAGTGTGTGGATATATTAAGGCTTGACTATGGTGTATGTATTTGTGTTTAGCAATGTATTAACTATCCACTTACTTCAGGTGGAAGGGTTTTTCATCCACACTTTCCCGCACCACAACTCTTTTGGTATGTACTTTACAAGCATCGCCAAGCCAGTAACCAACCCCATGCTGAAGAGTTGCATTGACAACGAAACAGCTGTCCATGAGTGGTTCACTGGCTTTGCTCTATACAACAGCTTTGAAACACAACTCAAGCAGAGGAGCAGACACATACTCCAAAGAATCCATGTATAAAGTGGAATTATGAGACAAAAATGTGGTTCTTTGTTGAGCTCATTTGCATATGCCTACCCAGAATCCCTTTCAGTAGTGAGAGCACTGTTCAAGTGAGATTTCTGTGGAAAAAACAAGTCTTATGGCTTGACTGGTGTGTGTATTTGGGTTTAGCAATGTATTAACTATGTATATATACATATATATGTTTTTCATATATTTAATTTTTACCTTTATTTTTATCCATTGGCCTGTTTTCTAAAGACTATAGTTAGACCTGCATTTTCTTTATATCCTCATCCTCATGGTTTTATCTTTTCTCAGTTTTATTTTCCATTGGGATTTCATTCCATTTTTATTCTGCCTTTCCCTTTTTAACTTGGCTTTTGTTTTTGGTTTTATGCTTTGTACAGTTTTGAAGGACTTTTTTTTTTACCTAATCCAGCCCTTGTAGCCCATTTTATTGCTCTTTTTCAAAAGGGCCACCACAGGCTCACGTGACCTGCGATTTTGCCTGACTCCTTCCAGCACTAGTTTTGGTCTGCTTCATGTTAGGTCTCTCCTAAATCCCCTCAGCCTACACTACCCAAGAACCCTTTCGATTATCATTTTCATCAAATGATGCAACACATTTTTGGTAGTTTAACAGTAGGTAGGTTTCTAAGGGATAGTCAGCTATGTCCATTAATTGTTAAACCTTCAACTGTATCTATAAAAATACATAATAAAAGAATATGCCTAATGGTGATACACACCCATGGGCGTCCGCAGGGGAGGGCAAGGAGGGGCACTTGCCCCCCCCTGGATTTTTCAGCTTGTTCTGATATTTTTCGTGTGAGTTAGAATGAACTGCAATACCGGTGTATGGAGAGAGACAGGGATAGGAAGCTGCATCTTATCCCTGCTTCTCTCTGCTGATTGAAACCGCAGGGGAACAACACATGCAGCCAGAGACAGCCTACAGATCAGGTAAGTGGGGGATGGTGGGAGGGTTTGAGAGGGGGGGCAGCAGCCTATAGATGATTTTGGGCGGCAGCAGCCTATAGATTTGGGGGGCAGCAGCTATAGATTTGGCGGGGGCAGCAGCCTATGGGGTATAGATTTGGGGGTCAGCAGCCTATAGATTTTGGGGGCAGCGCCTATAGATTTGGGGGCAGCAGCCTATAGATTTTTGGGGGCAGCAGCCTATAGATTTTTGGGGGCAGCAGCCTATAGGTTTGGGGGGGTGGCAGCAGCCTATAGATTGGGGGGGCAGCAGCCTATAGATTTGGGGGGGCAGCAGCAGCCTATAGATTAGGGGAGTGAGGCATGGGGGGGCAGCAGCCTATAGATTAGGGGAGTGATCATGGGGGGGCAACCTATAGATTAGGGAAGTGAGCTATATATATATATATATACACACACACACACTGCTGTGTGTGTGTGTGTGAGGGTGCTCTTAGTGTGCTGTGTGTGAGGGTGCTGTTTGTGAGGGAACTGGTAGTGTGCTGTGTGTGTGAGAGGGTGTTTGTGTGTGCGTGTTTGTTCGGGTCCTGTTAGTGTACTGTTTGTGTGCGGGTGTTGTGTGTTTGTCAGGGTGCTGTTTGTATGAGAGTGTGCTGTTTGTGTGTGGGTTTTGTGTGTTTGTGAGGATGCTGTTAGTGTGTTGGTGTTGTATGTGTGTGGGTGGGTGCTGTGTGTGCGAGGGTGATGTATGTGTGTAGGTGCTGTGTGTGTGTGCTGTTTGTGGGCTGTGTGTGCTGTATGTGTGTGTGCTGTATGTTTGGGCGGAGGTGGGGGCAGACTAGTTAATATCACAGTCCTGCTGCCTTCCCTGGGGGTTCAGTGGAGAGTGAACTCTAGCCCGGGTTCTCTGCTGCCTCCCTCCATGCTGCTGTGAACCGGTGAGGTAGAACTTTGATCTCCCCACCGGCCCATGGAGGCTTAGACCAGAGCCGCCGCTCGGATAGCGTCGGCTCTGCATGAGCCGACCGGGGAGATCCAGAGATCTCCCCTGCCGGTCTCAATCCATTGGCGTGCCGCAGGGATTAGGGTGTGCCCAGGCACACCCGACACACCCCGTGCGCACGCCTATAGAAGTGAGGGATGGGGGAGACAGCCTACATGAAGAGTCAGCAAGGAGCAGGAAGGTAAGGTAAGAAAAGGAGAAGGAACAGAAATGAGCAGGAAGGGACATCAAGGAGCAGAAAGGGGCAGCAAGGAGCTGGAAGGGACAGCAAGGAGCACAAAAGGTAAAGTAGGAGAAGGAGCACAAAGGAACAGAAATGAACAGGAAGGGTCAGCAAGGAGCTGGAAGGTAAAGCAGCACAAAGGTAAAGTAGAAGGAGCAGAAAGGGTCAGAAATGAGCTGGAAGGGGCAGAAGGAGCACAAACATAAAGTAGGAGAATGAGCAGGAAGGGCCTGCAAGGAGCAGGAAGGAGCACAAAGGGACAGCAAGGAGGACAAAGGTAAAGGAGCAGAAAGAATCAGAAGGAGCACAAAGGTAAAGTAGGAGAAAGAGCAGAAAGGGACAGCAAGGAGCACAAAGGTAAAGTAGAAAAGGGAGCAGAAAGGGTCTGCAAGGAGCAGAAAGGGTGCAAAATAAGCAGAAAGTAGCAGAAAGGTAAAAGAGCAGAAGGGGCCAAGGATAGAAAACAGTGTCAGAAGAAAAAAAAAGACTGTCAAATGAAGGAAAGGAAAAGGAGATTGGAGCAGGAAGGACAAATGAAGTGAACCCTCCACTTTATTTTGGACACCACATCATAAGGCTTTGGTACCTGGGCCAGTCAGGGAAACACTGGACCTTCTCATCTCCAAAGGTAAAAAAATATCAGTATTAATGTGTTCACTTTTATTTACTGAGTGTCAAGAAGCACAGAGTGCCATTGGGTAGGGGTGTTGCTGATTGGCTAGAGCGGTCAGCTGGCACTCTAAGCCAAACAGTAGCTCCCCATTCATAAAAATGTAAAAATATTTTATGAACCGGGAACTAGCGATTGGCTTAGAGCGTCAACTGTCCACTCTAGCCAATCAGCGGCACCCATGCCTGACGTCAATCTGCACTTCCTGACACTCTGTTTCAGAAGCCAAATACCAATGAGAGACCTGGAGCTGGAGGAAGCCTTTGGGGTTAAACCATTTGAGAGCGATTTAACCCCTTAAAGGAAAGCCAGCACCCAGGGGCTTCCTGGCATCATAGCATTTTCATTTAGGTGAAGTTGTTATGGTGACCCGAATGGTCCTTTAATTTGCTTAAAGGAACACTATAGTGTCAGGAATACAAAGTTATATTCCTGACACCATAGTTGTGAAAACGCTATTCACCCTGGCTTTTTTGTGATAATGGCTATGCCACTTCCCTTTCATGACATTGTCAAAAAGGTACCAAGCATGGATGTCATTACAATTATGCCCCCCCCTGGAAAAATTCCTGCGGACGCCCATGTACACACCATTAAACTTTGGGATGCTGTCAGAAGGCCTTGGTCTAGTCAGCTAGTGCGGAGGGAAATACGCCTTTTGGGACTGAGAGAACATCAGCTTACGGAGCCAGGGTAAAATAATTAACTGGAGTAACAAAAAATAAATGGTACAGTGATATAGAAAAAAAACTAAGAATGCACACACAGGCTTATAGAGTAAACTAGGTTGAGTGATATCGCTCTTCATGGTGGTAAGTCACTGGATCTCAAAGCCATTGCTCTGGGTATGAACGAGGTGATTCGGTCAACCGACCAAGAAGGGTGCCGCCCCGCCGAGAAGGATTGGACTGGTATCCCCAGTTCCTGAAGGCCCAGATTGTTTAACTTTTAGTTTAGCAGTCTTTTTTGCCCTCCACCATCCGTTGTGTGGCTTTCCTCTCATATATGTAGGTTTTCCATTACCCACAGTAATACACTTTACTCAGATTATTAGCCCTTACATAGTCACATGATCATGTAATTGACCATTTTAACCGCAATACTTAAATTTTCACTTGTGTGTTACCTTACCTTACCCAGAATGCCATGTATTTTGTAATTTTATTTGGGAAAGCATTTTGTAAGGAGAAGCGTGTTGTGGATTACTTTTGCATGTTTTTATTTGTTTTACAGCAAAGTATTTTTTGGCTTATACACTTTTGGTGTTGCCATATTTTTATTTTTTTTGCTACTTTATCATTATTCCTACTTTCAATCCTGGCATCCTAACATCTAGACAAAGAATCCATGGTGGGGAATATACCACCAACGCTACACTTGTAGAGCTGTTTTGGCTACTCTTAATTAAGGCTTCAAATAGTATTTACTATTTTAGCTAAGCAGAGAGCACTACGTTGTTTTCTTTAGTTTTTTGGGTTTTTTTATCGTCCTTACTCTACTGGGTAGGACCATATACTATCTTGCTAGAACTTAAGTGTGGCTCTGTCAAATTAAACAATAATTTGTTTTATTCACTAGACTTTGTGATTTCAGCCAATTCGTTGGAGAGATCTGTATATTTAATTCTCGTTCCCATTTTTTCATTATTGAATGTGAACTATCCTAAGGCTCATCCCTAAACAACTTTATAAATGTAGAAATATGCGTTTTTAATTTTTTTCCCCAGTCAGTCTCTAAACCCAAAACTTGCTTTGTTGGTATTAAAATAAAAAATATTTGCAAATTAGATTTAGTTTGTAAATATAAAAAACCTTGCCTCTTGGTAAGTTTGTCTTTTTCCTGTATCTGTTCAAATTATATTATTTACTATCAGATCTTTAATCTGATGTATCCCAGTTTCTTCCCATGTATCCTATGGCGGAAGTCCTAATGCGAGCATGGTGCTTGCCACGCATGTGCATTAATTCCCCTCTGCCGGCTGGCATTGGCAGAGGAGGAGCCTGAATCAGCACCGATGGACATGTAAAGTACTGCAGTTCTCTTTAAACTGTTTTGCAGGAACAGATAATTTTAGAAATGTATTAGAAAACCAAAATGCCTTTTGAATAAGAAAGAAATATTTTTTTAGTAATTTTTGGTGAGAGGAGAGACCACTAAGGGGCCGGGGAGAGCTCTAAGGGACAAAAAGGAGAGCTCTATAGGACAGAGGGCAGGACAGGGAGCTCTTTCACACTACGCAAACACACCCACAATGCATCCCTATACATACACAGAAACACACAATGCATCCCTACACACACAGAAACACAACATGCTTCCCTTACACACAGAGAAACACACAATGCATCCATTACACAAAAAAGACAATGAATCCTTTGCACACATACACAGAAACACACAATGCATTCCTTAGACACACATGCAAACACACACTGCTTCTCTTACATACACACAGAAACACACAATGCATTTCTTACACACACTCAATGCACACACTTACAGACACACACCTTGCATCCCTTATGCATACAAACACAGATTCACACAATGCATCCCTTATACACAAACACACTGCATCACCTACACAAACTGGTATCCCAATACAATACATTCCATAAGCACACACATTAGATCCTCTACAATAACACATAACATATCCCCTACACACTCCACTCCCTGTGAGCGAACTCATGGGTGGAACATGTAGGTGGACTTATGGGTGGGCCTTATGGGCATACTCACCATCAGGCCCTGGGGCCAAGACCTTGAGCTGTGTAAAGGCCCCCAAAAAATGGAGCTGCTTCCCGTTCTCCCAGAACATTAAATTTTGTGACCACAGTTACAAACAGCCTCCAGAGACCCTATTCTACACCAGACCAGTGGAGCCAAACTGCAGCCAGAGCCCATCACCATCCTCATCTGGTTGTAAGTAGGCAATCTAGTATATTACTAGGGACACTAATCTCTAATTTACCTCACATTAAAGGGACACTATAGTCCTCAGAACCACTGCAGCTTAATGAAGGTGTACCTGTGTCCATAGCCTGTCCCTGCTGGCTTTTTAATGTAAACACAGTGTGCAGCACTGGCGTTAGTTCATATGGCAGATCATATGGGTTGGGCATTGTAATGTCACATGGGGGGTGGCAAATTTTTCTTTTGCCTAGGGCGGCAAAAATCCTTGCACCGGCCCTGCATGCCATAAACAGGGTCCCCCGCTCCTGAACTACCAGGCTCTTCTCAGACGCAATCGGGTTATAGTTTATCAGCAGGGTCAGGTTCACACGGTATTAACCCAGCCCACATGGTGCCAGCAAATCTAAAAAAAAAAAAAAAATCCTGGAGGGCAAAGAGGTTAATCTAGTCTCTCTTTTGATTACCTCCAAGGATATTGTTGAGAATTGCACTTACACATACGAGGATATAACTGTTGTACTAAAATCCAGGGACCCGAGACTAAGCAAAAAACTGTCTATCCCGGATTTCGTATTAGCATTTGGGATTTACAGAGATGTTATATGTTTAGTCTGCCCACACAGGAGAGAGGAATTAGATCTCTACATGCACAAACTGGGGGACTTAGATAATAAATACGGTGGTATGGCATTTTTTGACTATTACCGTTCCTTTTCAGCGAAGGCGTCTGCGGCTCTTGCCTAGTTTAATGTTAGAACAGATTTGAGTCAGCTGGACACAGCTATTTTGCAGATACTTCGCTGGACTGAGGACACCAGCTTGTGCAACTTGCGCATCCACTTCACACTCAGGTAACCTATGTCCAATCTCACCTGACATCTCTCTTAACCTGGCTACCCCAAGCACCAAATCAAAGATTGACAAACCAGTCAAGGATAAGCTAGGACCAGGGCTGGACTGGGAATTAAAAGCAGCCCTGGAAAAAAAAAATATTTACCAGCCCCATAATGCGTCGCGCCAGCATAGTGTGCAGATACAGAGTCAGAACAGATAACTTAAAATTAAAAAGTAAACACAAAAGCTCCATAAGCACCAGGTACCAAGAGGTGAACTACAAGCTGATCTCCCAGTGGTACAGAACACCAGCAAAACTACACCGGATATTCCCTGTGGTCCCAGATACATGCTGGAGATGCGAAGCGCATCCAGGCACACTACGCCACATTTGGTGGGATTGCCCTGGGATCAAGCCATTCTGGGAAGAGGTAAACCGGGAAATCACTACAATTCTGGGTGACCCACCAGACTTTAGCATAGAGGCCATGCTCCTACACTTCTCCACAGGACAGCTGGCACAATACAAACGCTCAATCCTACGACACTTGCTTAATGCGGCCAAAGCACTGATCCCAGCGAGATGGAAGCAAACCCAGCCACCTTCCAAAACGGAATGGCTGCAGAGAATAGAATAGATCCACACAGCTGAGGCGAGATACGCTGAGATACTTGGGAGGAGGGACAAACATCTTGGAATGTGGACACCATGGTACCTGTACACAAGGACAGGAGATGGGACACCACGGGGATCCTAGCCAGCTGGACCAACACGCGCATCTTAACACAACCTCTCTCTCCCCCCCCACCTCACCCGGACCTGCCCTGACCAACTAACTCGGGAGTCAGGATAGACCCATGCCACAACATAGCTATGCCCCATACCTCCCAGCTCTCCCACCCTCACACACTCCCACCCATCCCTATCTCTCCCCCCCTCTATCCTTTTTCTTTCCCCAGGTGAGGTCGGGCACTGCCTGGCGCTACAGGGCCACAAAATATCTGAGCCCGAGAAGGCACCACGATTCCCCCATGGGACGTGGGCCCAGCGAGACATCGCTCGATAGACTTGGGGGGTTCCCACGACGTGGGAACCCCTACAATAAACAGCAAACATAAGTCAGCACTAGATGACTGACACAACTGAGCATTGAGACATCACACCAACCCCACCCAAGGGGGAAAACACTCCAGATACACCACAGATACCATACGTGGACAGCGACTGGAGCACGACAACGATTACCGCCCACAAGGAAGCAAAACGACAGAGGCAACTAAACACACCGCTGGACGCTCCCCCCCTCCCGTCGTGATGGCACCGCCTCGCGGCGGGGGAGGGGACGCGGACTCAGAACGAGAGGGTAGATGACCCAGGAGAGAACCCACAACATACCTAGGCACCGCCGAAGTTAGGGAAAAGACAGACAGGAAAGGGAGTTCCAGACCATGTGCAAGACTATAGGACCCGATCCCGCAAAACAACCCCTTTCTCACTCCCCACGTTAGAGGACGTGACCTGGGACCTACTGCACTACTTACCATTTGATTGGGGAACAACTATAGCATCGTTCTGCCCTTACTGGTGTGGGCCGGCAGCCCTCCGCTTCCAATAATGCACTATAAAGACCCACCTAACACTGGTGGTACTCATATCAGATGCAATTGGAGACCTGCGAGTCTCACTGAAAATATAAGCTCTGCTATCTGTTATTGTCTGAACTGCTAATAAAAACTTTATTTACAAAAAAAATAAAATTAAAAAGTACTTCAACGTAAAAAGCGCACTCATAGGCTTCAAAATAAACAAAAGTGCAGATTTATTTTAAGCAGACGTGCCTTTGCATGTAATCAATGTTTCAGTCCAACTACCTTGACATATTAAGGAAAGCTTGTTAATGGGACTGAAATGGTGAATGTATGTAGGGCACAACTGTAAAAAAAAATTATTTTGAAGTCCTGTGGGTGTGCTCTTCACTTTAAATATGTTATTGTGCTGGAGTATGCACCTAGCAACAAGACTGGGCCAATATCTACTCAATACATATGGTACTTTTTAATGAAATTTCTCTGTGTATTATGCATACATAAATGTACATTAATATGTGTAAATATAATATATATATATATATATATATATATATATATATATAAATAAATAAAACAAGAGGGGGTTGGCTGCACTCACCTTAACATGCATAAATGGGGGTGCTGCTGGGGGCCAAATAATACAATACACAAGATCCAGCGCACTCACCTATCCACTAAACAGCAACTTCAATGTTGAAAGATTTTGTTTTTTTAAAAACACCTAATCTAGGCAAAAATAATGGGGGTTTAGTTACATTATATGATCATACATTGCATACTGTACTGCAGAGAGCCCCAGATGGAATTTTTTTTCCCCAAGTAGGTTAATCTCATAAGAGCAGACATTAGGCTGTTAGTGTAGGACCTGCCAAAGATGGGGTACATTGACGTTGTGGCAGGCTTATGCAATGTATGATCATATAATGTAACTAAACCCCCATTATTTTTGCCTAGATTAGGTGTTTTTAAAAAAACAAATAAAATCTTTCAACATTGAAGTTGCTGTTTAGTGGATAGGTGAGTGCGCTGGATCTTGTGTATTGTATTATTTGGCCCCCAGCAGCACCCCCATTTATGCATGTTAAGGTGAGTGCAGCCAACACCTCTTGTTTTATATATATTTGGGAGTCTAGCCAACTCCTTGGTTTTGCACCCCTCCCTGTCACAGGTGCCTCATCCCAGGGCCCTATTTAGCCTTGTACTGCAGAGAGCCCCAGATGGAATTTTTTCCCAAGTGGTTAATCTCATAAGAGCAGACATTAGGCTGTTAGTGTAGGACCTGCCAAAGATGGGGTACATTGACGTTGTGGCAGGCTTATGCAATGTATGATCATATAATGTAACTAAACCCCCATTATTTTTGCCTAGATTAGGTGTTTTTAAAAAAACAAATAAAATCTTTCAACATTGAAGTTGCTGTTTAGTGGATAGGCGAGTGCGCTGGATCTTGTGTATTATATATATATATATATAACTAATATACACATTAATATACATGTCATATACCAGTGATGGATCCAGAGCCTGAGCCCGGGAGGGGCACTTGTAGATTATTTAAAGAAATATTCTGTGGCGAAACCGGCCTCGCCACGTGTCCTTGGAGGGGGCTGCTTGCCCGCCTCTTGCCTTTGGACTATGGACCAGACTTTATGTGAATGTGTTAACCCAGATAGCTATGCCATGGAGCCCATTCGTGTAGTTAAAGACTTCGGCTCCATGGCAATTGAACTGTGTGAATAGGATCTGAGCGCTATTCGGTAGTTTTGTGCGCTCAGATCCCAGCTATCTGGGGATATGTGAAATGTCTGTGTGTTATGTGTAAAAGGTGACTTTATGTATTTTAAAGTGTTTTATGTCTTTTTGCAACCATGTGCTCAATGGAGTCTGCCTCTATCCCTGGATAATTGGATTACTTTCCCCATTGTCTCCAGGATAGAGGGCTCTGTAAAACCTGTTTGAGCCAGATAGCCATATGCCAGCCAGGGCCCAAAAGATACTTTTACTAACTTTTGAACCCCTGGTCGGATTCATGCCATTTTTTAATATGTTGTTCCCCTGAATGGATTGATTGTGAATATGTAATTTTATGTGAATGTGATGTATGGTTTTAGAGTTATGAAAGTTGGGTAGAAAGTATGTTTTAACTGTATGTGTAATTGAGTTTCCTCTCAGGATAAGGGGAGGGAATATGTGGGATGTAACTGATATGTGATTGGTTGTTTTATACCTCCCTGTGGGTGGCCCTGTATGTGAAAGGCTGTAATAAAAAGCACAACAAAGAGGAGTTAGGCGCTCACTAAATAAACTAAAGGTGGGCAGCAGTGGACCAAGCAGGAATTCCCAATACCTGCTCACAGTAGTAAAACAGAAGAGACAAAAGTGGTAAACCGCGCCCAAACAGTGCAAATAATAATTAAAATATATACATACAGAGAGTCCTCTAATTAGGAATGTATAAAACCTTCAAGACAAAAAAGTACAGAACAATAATAGTGCAATATGTCAAGTGAAATAAGAGTATATAAAAGCTTATAAAAGACTCACTCACACTTTGCAGAGCTACTCAGAGCTCTGCCGTATAGCGCCCGTATAGCTCTGAGTAGCTCTGCAAAGTGTGAGTGAGTCTTTTATAAGCTTTTATATACTCTTATTTCACTTGACATATTGCACTATTATTGTTCTGTACTTTTTTGTCTTGAAGGTTTTATACATTCCTAATTAGAGGACTCTCTGTATGTATATATTTTAATTATTTGCACTGTTTGGGCGCGGTTTACCACTTTTGTCTCTTCTGTAATAAAAAGCAGGCTGGGTGTGCCAGCACAAGAGTTCCTGTTTTAACCCTCAAAGTGAAGTGTCGTCTCATTATTGGGGGAAGGATTTATTGTATGCTGTTCCAGTTTGACTGCTAGGAGAGTAAACCTATTCGTATGGTTCCTATTCAACTGTCTACAGCATTCATATGCTTGGGAGAATGTATTTGTTTCTCCGGTTCAGTGATTGTGGTGTCTGCCAGAGTGCTTGGAGTCCTGAGGAAGCGCTAGGAGCATCCTTCAATGGAGGTACCCAGTCGGGGTGCCAGGCGACCTGTTACATATTCCATGCACAATAACCACTACTCCTCTGTATAGTGGTTATGGTGCCAGGAGTGTCGGCACACCCTCCCAGAGTAAGTAGTCAAACCGTTTAAGAACAGTTTGACAACTTACCTGGAGTCTGCTGGGATATGGGGATGTAGTAGGGTATAGGAGCAGTGGTGCAATGTGTGAGGGGTGCAATGTGTGAATGTGTGTGTGTGTGTGGGCAGTGTGTGAATGTGTATGGTGTGTGTATGGGGCTAGAGTTCAATCCTACTACTGCGACCACCAGGAAGTGGTGAGAGTGAACTCTAGCCCGTAGCTCCAGGGCTAGAGTTCACCTCGTGAGAGCCAGAGCATTGCCCCGGGTCCTCTCTTTCTCCCCCTCTGCTCCTCTGTGTCAATGTCTCTCCTTTCCTTCCCAGTCTCTCTCTTCCCACTCTGCCTGTTTCTTCCCCTCCCCTTGTGTGTCTCTCTCATTTCTCCCTCTTTGTGTCTCTCTTCCCCCTCTGCCTCTTTCACCCCCTTTCCCTGTGTCTCTCCCTCCTCCCCATCTCTCTCCCTCCCCCCTTTTCCTTTGTCTCTCCCTCCAACCCATCTCCCCCCCTTTCCCTGTGTCTATCCCCTTTCCCCATCTCTCTCTCCCTCCAACCCATCTCTCTCCCCTTTCCTGTGTCTCTCCCTCCCCCTCCACCATATCTCTATTCCCTCACCATCTCTCCCCCTTTCCTGTGTGTCTCTCTCCTCTCCCCCTCCCCTTTCCCTGTGTCCCTCTCCTCCCCCCCCCCCTTTTCCCTGTGTCCCTCTCCTCTTCCCATCTTTCCCCCTCCCCTGTGTCCCTCTCTCCTCCCCCATCTTTCCCCTCCCCTTGTCTCTACCCTCTCCCCATCTCTCTCTCTCCCCCCCTCCACCATCTCTCTATTCCCCTCCCATCTCTGCCCCTTTCCCTTTGTCTCCCCTTACCTTAGAGGCAGGGGGCCGGCCGCGTTCCAGGCTGGAGCCGCCGGACCGGGTGGCAGCTTCGCCGGTCCGGTGGCACTGGTGTCTGAAGGAGGAGGAGCCTGTCTACCATGCTCCCTCGCAGTTCCCACAATTCCCAGCACAGGAACCGCGAGGGAGCATGGTAGACATGCTCCTCCTCCTTCAGCCCTCAGCCACAGCAGTGACTGGAGTGCCGCCGGACCGGCGAAGCTGCCACCCGGCCCGGCGGCTCCAGTCTGGAACGCGGCCGGCCCCCTCTGAGTGCCACCGGAGGGGGGAAATTTCCCGGTATCCTGGTGGGCCAGTCCAGCCCTGGCTAGGACGTCCAATTGTGTACTTGGGTAATTCACAAATATGTAACAACTTCAACAAAGGTACTTGTGGATATAGTGCTTGCCGATTATTGCACCTATGTTCCCACTGCTACAGAGCCCATGCAAAATCTATGTGCCCCAATAAAATGCATTCTAAACCTTATTTGACCTCTGTAAATGTCGGTGCTCTAGTAAGCCTTCTATCAGCCCACCCTTCCAAACACCTGCTTAATATTTTAATAGCAGGTCTAACTTAAGGTTTCCATACAGGCATTATTTACATGCCAGCAGGATCCATAGAATAAAACAACCTACAATCTGCTACGGAAAATACTGAGACAGTAGATTTACTGATACAGCATGAATTGGATCAATGGTTCTTATTGGGGCCTTTTCAGGAACCTCCATTTTCTAGCTGGAGGACAAACCCAATTGGGATAGTTACCGGGACAAACTCTTCAAAGGCTAAATATAGACCTCTCTGCGCTACACTCCTCAGCAGTCTCTAGTCTTAACTCCTTGATTCCCTCAGAGGAATTTTCGCTACAACACAACGATAGACAATGCCATAGACGCAATCATTACAGCATGGCTCAGTAAAACTGACATAGTTAATGCCTTCAAATTACTACTCATTCATCCATCTCTATGGCATCTGTGATATTAAATGGAAAGGCCTGTATTATTTTTTCCACAAGACTTACTTTCAGATCAAAAAACAGCCCAAAAATATTCGATACATTTCTGCTGCCACATAGTAATCCACTATCTGGGTGATTTCCTGTTTATCGAGAACAATACTCTCCCCCCAAGTAATTTAAATAAAACAATACAATTATTCCACATATTAGGGGTACCAGTCTCTCCTCAAAAAACAGAAGGTCCTGACACTATTATTAATTTCCTGGGCATTCACCTTGACTCTGTGGCTATGGAAGCCATCCTCCCGCATGCTAAAGTCAATAATATCCTCAAAAGTATTGACAAATATATACAATTTGGTTACTGTAACAAGTTACAATCTCTGCTAGGCTCCCAAATTTTGTGATGAGAATCATCCTGCAAGGTAGAGCCTCCATATCTAGACTCCTTAGCTTACTCCCCGAATTTCTCAATGACATCAGTCGTATCTCACACATACTACCGCTGACCTTCTCATGCAGCGCAAATTTATTTTAAATTGGAACGGAAAGAGTATGGACAGATGCAGCAGCTTCCATTGGGTTCGCAGGCATATTCGATAATAATTGGCTCTGGGGTAGTTGGTCTGATGAGGTTCTAAACATAGAAGGGTTCTCTTGCAACTCAGCGTTATTTGAAGTATTGTGACAAAAGGAGCAGCGCTAAGGACAACCACAAAAAATATTATATATTTTGAAAGGCAGCACACCTACAAACAGTAAGGGGTTCCCTCTTAATACCCCACTATATGCAATGGAAAAGGAAAGGAGAGAAGATTGCGCCTTAATAAGATGGAATATACCAAAGTAAAAATGACAGAAATATTATATACGGTGAAACAAGTGTGGTCCAAATACAATTGTATATAGATGGTAGATAAAAAGTCTTGAGGGGAACAGCCAGACTGGATAAAATCAGTTGTTCTTGGACGTAGAGTGCTTGTAATTCCAGAAGTGCATGGAAAACATAAAAAGAGAGAACTCCAATGGTACAATATAGTATAAGATATATTTTTAAAAAATTTATATAGAGTCACTTCTACTCACATTTACCAGAGCTATATACCAGAGTAAGTATAGCGTGAAGTGGAATGATCCTCACTTCTGGGATATATGTGGTAGGTAAATTCTTCAGATATTTTAGCAATGATAGAGGTTCCAAACCAAGAAGATATAACATGGCAAATCTAGTGCTCACTGTAGAAATAAGACCACAAGATGTTATACAGTATAGGAGATGTACTCACATTTATTTGAGCAGGCTTACTGGAGGCGCTGGTGGGATTCTTTATTCCTCTTTGAGATGATAAATCAGGATGTCAAATAAAAAAAATATTTTTTTTAAATTCCCTTATTGGTAATAAGTAAATAAAAAATATCTATAACGTGTTTCACCTTGCAAGACTTCTTCAAGTACACAAAAATAACAGAATAAACAACCTGGCATCTCATTGTTTATATAGGGGACTAATGGCAGTTAAACTGTTTGAATTAGGCGCCATAATGACGTCATGTGGGCAAAGCATCATCAATTAATTACAAGAGATATGAAAAAGACCTATAGACATTCCATTCATAGGTAAAATATACAGTACTTTCTTATAATATATTACAAATGTAAAAACAAAGATTTATTTTTTTAAATGAATCATTTTTCTAGTAGACCATGTGATGAGCAGCATTACTTCCGCGTCACGTCACGTTATTTGAAGTATACCCAATAGTAGCCTTTGCAGTTTTTCTGATAATCAAGTAATTTGTCACATCATAAATAAAGGGCGGTCATCTTCTTTAACTATTATGAGATTTCTTAGAAGACTGACTTGGTTAGCAGCCTGTATACAATTTTAGTTTGTTTGTTGTTGTATCGGAGTGGACATTTGCAAGCTACTTTTTGTCCGTATCTCCACCCTGTTATTTTGTGTGTCTTGCCTGGTTATTTCATGTGGTTCTTCTTCTTGCAAGGACCACCCCTGCACCCCATTAGAACGTTAACACCAACCACTTAAGTGCGAAGCTGCAAAGGAAACAATTAATGAGTGCTTCTCCTGGGTGGCCGCCATCTCGTATAACCGAACACGTGGCTGGGAGAATTGGCTTGTCTCCCGAACGAGGGCAGCGGTACTTGGTCTTCGAGTGCCTGGAACTATTTTAGGCTTCGCACTTGCGCGAACACCGTTAAACTGTCGACCGCTGCCCGTTCCTGTTCTCGACCACCTACACAAACGCCGTTCAGGAGATAAAAAGTACCGAATTTCTTTTTGTGAAAGCAAGAGATTCCCTTGTATGGTTTTCACACAAGAACCTCACAAACAAAGACTGGGCACCTATTCTCTGGAACTATTTTCAGCTACTTACTTGTGTCTGGCCAGTCAAATATTTCACTCGATGCCGTTCCCCTTCTACCGAACTGATCTGAGTGATTCTTGGATATGTTGGTCACTTAGATTGCGGCTATCAGTGAATGTACTTTTTGTGGGGTACCTATGTATGGATGGGAGACTTTTGGGGTACGGGATTTTTGGGATTTTTTTGTGCTTGAGAGATAATTAAATTGGAGGAGTTT